TGTAATGAGATAATCTGCCAGCGATTCTAGTGTTGTTTGTGTATCATCAGTAATATAGAGACGATTACTAAAGGTATAAAGAAATATTTTTCTGTATCCTGGTATTTCAAGTCAAGTAAATTTCTGATGCAGTGCATTTCTTTGCATTGTAATCAGCTAGAGCCAGAACAAGTGTAGCAAATTGTCTCACCCTTCAAACTGCAATATACAGAGTATTTTTGTTTTTGTGAGTTATTTTCAAATGTTCCCAATCCTTTTTGGAAACTCCATTGTGCCATTCACCTTCTTGAGACTACACCAATGCAATTGAGTGATATCTGAAAGGAGGGGGTGTCAGCCTGGCTCAGTTGGCAGCACGCCTTATAAGATTGGTCACTTCATCACTGTATGTAGGACATTGCTGTATGTAAATTGCCTGCCTCATTCATCTGCGAATACACAGTCACGAGAATTTACAGGAAATCCTGTGTAGTGCTTTGAGATGTTTTGATAACGTGATAAGGCGCTATATCAAATGCAAGCATTATTTCCTGAATATCCATTATTCAATATATAGGGAGAGTCTCAAGCAGTTTAAAACTATAAGCAAAATACTGAGAAACGATGAATGACATCAAATTGCTTGGATGTATCAATTATTTAAAAACTACAGAATTGGTGGAGTGGGTTTGCTTAATTTTCCCCCTTTTTCTTCTATTTGTGACCATTTCATCCACAAAATATACAGTCAATTCACTTTACAGCATATTCTGTGAAGCGCTATATCAAATGCAAGGATTATTATTATTGAAAGCAGTTTTCACTGCAAGAAAGAGTACTTTCTTGCAGTGAGGTCTAATAGTGCTCAGATTTGGGCCAATTGATTGTTGCATTCCATATTTTAATGTACTGAAGGTATCCCCTAGACATTGCCCGCCATGATATTATCACTCATTGTGAGAGGGAAAATTATTTAGCCTTTCCGAAGAGCAGTTTAAGAACAAGAAAGTAGAATCAGAAAGACTTCAGAAGCAAAGAAAAAGGATGCGAATGAAGGAGACTTGAAAACTCTTGTTTGTGAGGATCACAACCTATTATTTTTCCTTTTCCCTATTGTTTGTCTCTCCAGACTAATGCACTAAATATAGGCAGGATTCTGACTTGCTTCTTGGCAACCATCAACTCTTGCTCTTGACCTAACTCCTAGGAGGTTTGCAGGAACGTTCAGGTCACCACTTGCTCTGCAGTTTCACCTCTTCTTTTAGAGAAAAGTGTCTAATTTACACTCTCCAAAAAATCAACACAGAGGTAGCCTGCGAATGCAAACTCATGTCTCACAAGCTATTGCTTACACAGATTCTTTAGCATACATTGCATCAGTGCTGTCCAAGAGGGAAAAGCACAACAAGAGTGCAGTTGAAAGATAACATACTATAATAAACACATGTTTTGATCATTGGGGTTCAATTAATTGGGAATTTTTTTTAAAAAGCTGACTTATTCTTGTCAGGTTATACAATGCTCTGGTCAGAACGCACCCTGAGTACTGCATACAGTTCTGGTCACATAAGTACAGAGGAAAGCAATGAGGATGATCCTCGATATTAGAGGAATAAACTATGAACAATGACCAGACAAACTAGGACGCTTCAGTCTTGAGAGAAGACAACTCAAAGGGGAGCTCATAGAGGTGTATAAAATTTTAAAATGAATTGTAAAAGCAATCTACTTTAGATCGGGACAGTAGAACAAGAGGGCATAGGTTTACAGATGTAAAGGACAATTTCAGGATAGATATCAGGAAGGTTTTCTTTACACAGAGGGTAATCAACAAATGGAATGGGTTGCCAGAAAAGGTGGTAGAGGCCAGGACATTAGACTCAATTAAAAAGCAGCTTGATGCAGTTATGGGGGGACTGAAGGGATGAGATTGGATGGTCTGATGGGCCTCCTTCATCCAGACAATCTTGCAATCTATGAATGTTTTGCATAAACATTGCCATTCAATGCAGACTCTGAAGTCCATCAAAATACCTGTATAGTTGTTCGATATTTATGTTTTCATGAGGAAACTAACTGATTTTGCTACTTCTTTTTCATTAACAAAACAATATGAAGGTGTTTACTAATAATCATCAAAATTTTAAATACTGTATCCAGTAAAACAATATTTGTAAATAAGGGAAATGTGATAATTCTGTGACCTCAGTGTCTAAGTGGCCCTGTGAATGGACCAAATAAATAAATAAAAAATTATCAGTGAGGGCAGATTTTGAAGTATTTTCTTCATACATAGTGTTTTTTTAATGGATTGAAACCAGACAGCATTTTGCATTTAGTCATACTCTAGCTGTTTATTGTAAGTGTCCAGAAAATGCTGGTTTTAATCACTAATCACTAAAGATTATCAGTGCAAATTTTGCAACTGGAATTCCACCTACGTCAAAACAACCATGTAGCTGCTTTGAAGTCGAAAAAATACAAATACCTCAACCATGTTCAAACATGTGTTAGCTTGTGGTTGCATACATACAACCTACAGTTTGAAAACAAGATCAATAAGTTATCTTTTTACACAAAGTTCAGTTCAACATTTTTTAAAATCTCATTTGTACATTAATCATCATTCATTTATCCTGGATCAGCAAAATTCAATTCAATTGTAAAGATCCAACAGGCATGAAAAATGCCTGCCGTTGAATAATCAACTCTTAAGAGTGCAGTGCTGGGGAGAGCACTGCAATGTCAGAGATGGATTCCTTCAGATGAGATGTGAAATCAAGGTCCAGTCTGCTTGTTCAGGTGGATGTTAATGATCCCATTGCACTATTCAAAAAGAAAAGGGAATTGCTCATGGTTTTGTGGACAACAGTGCTCCAGATAGAATAAGTCATTCACTTTATGATTGTTTGTGGGCATTGCTGTGTGCTAATTGGTGGCATCATTTGCCTTAAAAAAAGTAAAATGTGAAGCACTTAAGAGGCATCTCAACGACATAATAAGTCACTGTATCAAATGCAAAGATTATTATTATATTTCATTACCTCTTCGTATTTGACTTCAAGTCTATGAAATTACATTTTAAAAAAATTTCACATCTCAAAATGGACAGTGGAATCCAAAAAAGTGAAAATATTTAATATAATAATCCTTGCATTTGATATAGTGCCTTATCATGTCTTCTAGTCGTCTCAAAGCGCTTCACAGAATATATTGTAAAGTGAATTGATTGTGTACATATTTTGTGGGCAAAACGCAGCAGCCAATAAGCACACATCAGTGTCCTACAAACAGTTGTGGATTCAGTGACCAAATTTTTTTTAAAAAAGGGATTTTTACCCACAGAAAAGCAATCTGCCTATCGACTAATAACTGGATTTCTACTTACTGCTAGGTAAACAGAGGCGTGTGGAGTAAGGAAACTTGCTCAATGTTTCATCCTACCGGGAATCAAATCCAGGTCCTCTCGCTTGCAAGGCGAGTGCTCTAACCACTAAGCTACAGAACTGTAATTTAAGAATGTTAGAAAATAAATTTTGGAATAAAAAAATTGAAACAAAACAGGAAATATTGAATAGAACAAATATTGGACAATAAGGTGGAGGATCAATAATATTTTCCACTTATTTAGAGAGCTAGTTTTAAACAATCTGAGACACTACCCGTGTGAAGGCCGCAATATAATTGCAGGTTGTCATTTAGATTTAGCACTTCGAGACATCCTCTCGACGTGAAAGGTGCAATATAAATGTAAATTTGTATTGTGGCAAACAGCTATTTCTCTGTTCGGAGTAGGTTTATTACTAAATGATTTCCACCCCATATTATGTATCAGGCGCCTGAAATCTAGTCAACTATCTGGCATTCTCAGGGTTAACAATCCCTTGAGGATTTGTCCACACATTAGCCCAGGGGCTAACCAGCCATTCAGGTGTGGAGAAAATGCTGAGAGTCGACCAATAAAATAACTAAGAGTGAAATTTCTGAGGTTCTTCCAAACCCGTCTCTTTTTTTTGGTGTGTGGAGGGAGAGAGAGAGAGAGAGAGAACTGACCTTGTGCAATGTCTGTAATGATTTACCAATGCACTGTATATATATGAAGCAACATGACATAAGAACAGTACACATATGTTTAAGCAATGTTAACACAACCGAGTGCAAATAAGTGAAGTGTCTGCCTGCCTTCAGCTGTTGCTTGAACTCTCACTCCAAGTGAGATGTGATTTACCTCGAACGTGCCTTGAACACGCCTACATTTTTCCCCATTTAATTTTCATTCTTATCCTCTTCCCCCCCCCCCCCCACACCCCCTCAAAAAAAATTACACCTCTTTTTTTTTGAAATATCGCATGTTGAATGCTGCAAAAACAAAATAAAACTTGGAATATCATCCAGGGAAGGGAGACAAGGAGATGGTTTTTGCAAATTTCATCATTTGAATACCTTGAATTTGTTTGCATCGCTGTGCAAAGCAACAAACGTACGTTTTATATACAGATATCATAAATAAATCAAATATTATTTGCAAATGCATAACACTGTCTGATGGAAATCCCAAGCACAGGGTCCAGAGTCTTCAGTCAATCTATCCTCTTTGAGCAGCAGAAAGGGTATGGGGGGGAATCCTCTCTCCCACCTCCTTTTTCACTATCTCTCTATCTTTCTCTCTTCCTTTATCCCCCCCCCTCCCCACCCTTTATTTCTCCATCTCCTCCCCTTTTTTTCTCTCTCTCTCTCTCTCTCTCTTTTATCTTTCCCTTTCTTTCCTTCTCTCCCCGCCTCGTCCTCCCTTTATCTTTCCCCTTCTCTCTCCCTCTCTCTCTCTCTCTCTCTCACACCCCCGCCCTCTCTTCCTGCCTTTCTTTCTCTCTTTCTCTCTCTCACTCACTCACCACCTTTCTCTCTCTCTCTCTCTCTCTCCCCCCTCCGCGCCTCAACCAATCTTTACCAGCGGAAGTGCGGCGGAGCCCCGCCCCCTCGGCCCTGATTGACGTGCCGCTGCCCTCAGACAGTCGCCGGGGCGCGAGCTGTTGTGATCGCTATGGGTGGGCGCTCCTCGCGCTCCCCCCCTCCCCTCCCCCCTCCCCTCAGCTAAACAGTCAGCAGGTTAGGTTGAATGGGATAACGATGGAGAGGGTCTGAGACGGGAGTGAAGAGAAGCGAAGAGGGTACCGCCGAGTCCCCCCCTCCCTCCCTCCCGGGGCACAGCCCCTCACACACCACCGCTTCCCTCTCACACAACACCCCCCCCCGCCTCCCTGTAACCACTGCGGCTGCAGCAGCGGCACCTCCTCCTCCTCCTCCTCCTTCACTCGTTCACAACAGGGCCTTTCACACCCCCCCCCACCCCCTCCCCCCTGAGCTCGAGAGACAGACAGACAGACAGAGCGAAGAAAAGAGAGGCACTATATTCCTCCCTCTCTCCCTCTGTACCTGACTCTCATTGCTCCCCCTCTCTCTCTCTCCCTCTCTCTCTCTCTCCGTTATCTCCGGATGGTGTTTGGCGGCGGCGGCGGTTGACAGCGACGCGCTCGCTCGCTCCTCGCTGGGACTTGCGTCCGAATGGGCAGCGGTGAGTGCGGGGGGAGAGGGGGAGGGCAGTGTGTGTGTGGGGGAGTGTGTGTGTGTGTGTGGGGGGAGGGCAGTGTGTGTGTGTGTGTGTGTGGGGGGAGGGCAGTGTGTGTGTGTGTGTGTGTGTGGGGGGAGGGCAGTGTGTGTGGGTGTGTGTGGGAGTGTGTGTGGGGACTGGTGTCAGGTTGTCGGCTGTGGAGGTGAAGGGGATGAGGGAACCGCCGTGTACGCTGCGGAGGGGAAGGAGGGGGGAGTCGGTGGGAGGTTTAAATCGCCGATTTGGGCTATGACTGGAGGTTGGTGTGTTGGTTGTTGGGGGGGACTGGTGTGGGGGGGGACTGGTGTGGGGTGTGTGTGGGGTGTGGGGTGTGTGTGTGTGGGGTGGGGGGGGGACTGGTGTGGGGTGTGTGTGGGGTGTGTGTGTGTGGGGTGGGGGGGGACTGGTGTGGGGTGTGTGTGTGTGTGGGGTGTGTGGTGTGTGTGTGGGGTGGGGGGGACTGGTGTGGGGTGTGTGTGTGTGGGGTGTGTGTGTGGGGGGGGGGGGGTGGAGATTGGTGTGGGGTGTGTATGTGGGGGTGGGTGTGTGGTGGTGGGGGGTGTGGGGTGGGGGGGGGACTGGTGGGGGTGTGGGGGGTGTGTGTGTGTTGGACGACGACTGGTGTGGGTTGTGATTTTGAGGGCTTTTAATTTCTGGGAGAGGTGTTTAAACTGCAGTGAGTTGTATTGGAGGCCGTGCGGAGGAGAGAGAGAGAGAGAGAAAGCTGTTTTTTTTGTTGACTCCATGTATTTATTTATATATACACATATATATATATATATATTTATTTTTGGGGGACGACCCAGGGGAGGGTGGTGATGGATTTTTTTTCACACACAAACACAAGCTCATTGGGGACTCGGCTGATTCTCAGCTGCAAAAACAAAAGAAGTTCATCTGTGACATGTTCTTCCCTTCCTCTCCTCCTCTCCTCTCCTCTCTCCTCCTCTCCTCTCTCCTCTCCTCCTCCTCAAGACCTTAACTGTCATTTTATTGCTTTCTCGTTCGGGGCCTAAAAGTGCCGCCGCCACCGCCTTCGAGCAGCAATACATGTCCTGAGAGGGAGGGAGAGGGGGTGGAGAGAGAGAGAGAGAGAGAGTGGTGGTGGTGGGGCTGTGGCCGCCGGTGATGGTTACCTTCCCGGCTTGTGTCTGGGCTCGGGGGGGGGGGGGGGGGGGTATTTTCTCGAGATCCCCTTCTGCTTGTGCTGTGTAAACTTTTAGAATCGACCCCACACACCCCTAAACACACCCGCCCCCCCACACCCCACGCCCCCCTACACACACACCCCTAAACACACCCCTAAACACACCCCCACACACCCACACACCCCTACACACACACCCCTAAACACCCCACACACACACCCCCACACACCCCTACACACACACCCCTACACACACACTCCTACACACACACTCCTACACACACCCTATACACCCCCCCCCACACACACACCCCTACCCACACACCCCCCACACACCCCTACACACACACACCCCCCCCACACCCCTACACACACACACCCCCACACACCCCTACCCACACACTCACCCCTACCCACACACTCACCCCTACACACACACTCACCCCTACACACACACTCACCCCTACACACACACTCACCCCCAGCTAACAGTATTGGGGCCAAAAGAGCAAGAGGCTGTGGGTTACAAGGGTGGTCGTGTGTGTGTGTGTGTGTGTGTGTGTGTGTGGGGGGGGGGGGGGGGGGGGATGATGGAGAACGTTTTTTCCTGTATGTGATTGTAAACATTGCGCCCTTTTGGTCCGGAGGCAGAGAGAGTCCCCTAAAGATACTGCGGCGTGAAATCCGAGACCGTCCCCTTTCAACATATCGCTGCCGTACAGTTCAGAAATGTTTCAGCCTCACCGTTTGCTGCAGTTATTTAACATATGAGAAGGGTGTGTGTGTGTGTGGGGGGGGGGGAGTGTTGTGGAGGTGAATAATGGCCAAGCTGTTGGTGATCTGATTGAGCTGTCAAATCACGTAATTGTATTTCGGTAAGGTTTTAGCAGAAAATCAGGTCAGAAATTTGATTTTATATATATATATATATATATACACACACACGACAGGGTGACCAAATTATTTTTTCAGCTACCCTATTATCTAAACTAAAATCATAATTTCTTTACGGCTTGTTAGACATTGTTATGGTATCACGACGTTTTGGTCACCCTGTGTGTGTGTGTGTGTATATGTCTACATAATAGATAATACATGTATGATATAATCAGTTGAAATGTTATCAGTCAGATATTTTATTGGTTACGGAATCTTGGGTGTTCCCTGTCCCATTGCTTGTTGCTAACGACAGGTCTGTAATTGTATACTAACATGAATGAGATGCAAACTCAAATGCAAACTATATTTGCATTTTATTTTAAACTTAAATCCATCTGTTGTTTGTCTCAGTTTTCAGGCCTGGTGACTCATTTAACCGAGGAGGAATGACTACATAAATTGACAGCAACTTCCTGCCACAGTCATGCAGGTTACAGAAGAACTTCGCAATCTGCAGCTCTGATTTCTTTTAGAGAATGAGAAAAAGATGTTATCCGTCTTAAAGGATCTAATCTAGAGCAAATATAAACTTGGGGAAAAAAACTAATTTTCACAGAACCTGAAGCTACCTGACCAGAGACGACAGTAATAATCATGGCTTCTGTTTGGAAACGACTGCAACGTGTGGGGAAGCATGCGTCCAAGTTCCAGTTTGTGGCTTCATACCAAGAATTAATGGTAGAATGCACAAAGAAATGGTAAGTATAATAAACTTACTGTTGTATTAGATTGTAAGTGGTAATGTTGGCAAGAAGCCACCCTTTCTTGCCACTAACGATGTGATTTATTCTCTGCAAAGAGCTTACTCGCAGGATGGGAACTGGGCGGGGTTGAGAAATATCAACACAGTTGTGCAGTGAGGACTGGAAGGATCCAACCCTTTTGTTCGCTTTTTTCGGAATCATCAGTGAGCTTCATATTTGACAGTGTTTCAGAATATTAGCAGATTGGTACCGATCATCTTGCAGCTTTTTGATAATGAATTTTATTTGCAATTATGTACTGACAAGTATACTATGTCGATCTTTTCTACTGGAGACGGATTGGTACAGTTTGTTGCTTCAATTGACATATCTGCAGTTATTTGCAATAGTTGTAATACCATAATTACTATTTATTGAATGTCTCTTTCATGCATTTAATTATTATGAATTATTATTTTTGATGCGCTTTAAGATGTCTAGAAGACGTGATAGGGTGCTATATCAAATGAAAGGATTATTATTGCGTACCTCGAGACCTCTGAGTTATTTTTGTCTTGGGAACTTGCATCTGTATTTGGTCTATCAGCTTCTAGCAGCAGAAATGAGAAGTAAACACAGATGACAGACGGAATAGTAATATATAGCATCATAACAACTGGACAGATGATGCAGTATACTCTTCATCCTGCTTTTAATGTGCGTATTCTCTTTGAAGGTTATTTTAGACTTTGTAGATCAGGCAATGGTTTCTCCTGGCCAAATAGAAACCTTTGCTTGGAATCTTTTTCAGGAATTAGTGACTTGAAAAAGGAAAATAAGAAAGAAGATCCAAGTATGGTTGCTGCTTTTAACTGGTTGGAGTATTGACGATGCTTTATGTATTCTTTTTAAAAAGCTACTCATCGCCCAAAGATCCTTGTCCTTACTTTTAAAACCTCCACAGTCTTGTCTCACCCTACCTTTATGACCTTCTAAAACCTTACCAACTGCCCTTTCCCTCCACCCTGAAAACACTGGCCTGCTTCATGTCCCCCACCCTGTCCCTTCCACTACCTGTGGTTGTGCTTTTAGCCTTTTTACCCCACTCTCTGGTAAACCATCCACCACCTTGCCCCTTCCCTCGCCTCTTTCAAAGTCCATCTCAAGGTACTTCTCAACTCACCGCTCTTGTATCCAATCCTGAGCTCGGGTGCAAACCCTTGATTATCCAGCATTCTGATGTGAAAGGTGCTATATAATTGAAATGATGCCAAGAAATTTGATGTTAAATAGTTTTGATGAGCATTTGAATGTCTTCTGTGCTGGAATAGTAATCTCAACCAATCAATTCTGTGTCCATTTTCCTACATAAAATTTATTGGAATATGGAAAGTACTTTATATAATTGCTATTTGTATATGCAAGTGTCTTTATGCATGGGTAGCAAGTATTTCAGGCATTTTTTTTAAAAAGCACAACTGCACATTTTAAGATTTCGGAAAACATTTGCAGAAATACAAACTGTCTGTGGGAATGTGCATTCCATTAAAGTCATCTCTTTAAGATCTTCCTTAAATCAACAATAAGCCTGGCTACAAATAGTAACTAAAACATTTTCTTATAATAATAATAATAATAATAATAATCTTTGCATTTGATTTAGCGCTTTTCATGTCTTCTTGACATCTCAAAGTGCTTCACAGTGTAAAGTGAAGTAAAGTGACTGTAAAGTGAATTGACCGTATATTTGTGGGCGAAATTTGTTCCTTGCTTCCTCATCCATGTAAGCACTTTCCAATATTATAAACCTCGTCCTTGATGGGATTATTCCAAGGAGTACCATTTCTAATGTAATCCTTCCGTGAGCATCTCATTTAGACACACCTGCCACTGCAGTAAAGCTTATACAGAACTGAGAACCAAGTTTCAATGGATCTATCATGTATTAGTTTAAAAACTCAAGTGTTTAAATTCTAGTGTGGAATCTCTGTTCTCACCAGGAAGTAGGAGCTATGTGATTATTGAATTGTATAATACAATATAAACGCATATGTGTACACTATAAGAGTATAAACCATGGCAGTGAGTGTGTAAAGAGGCGTAACACTGGGAGCTTGTTTAATGCTCTAAGCTAAAGGGAAACATGAGGGGTTTGCATAAGTCTTTGAATCTTGATAATGCACTACCACCTTGAGCCTGCTCACATAGATCTACTTCTTTTATAATCCCTCAACGGACGCTACTAAAATCTTACCAGTACGTCCGCTCCTTCCGCTCGGTGGGCACTGGGCAGGCAGGGCACGTGCCCTGCCTGCCCACCACAGTTCGGGTGCAAACCCTAGATTGTCCAGTGCTTAGGAAGGTCTCTCCACGTGAATGGAGCCATATAAATGCAGTTGTTGTTTATAAGCATTATAATCACTCTTCTGTTTTAAGCACATTTTTTGGTCTCTGTTTTTGGCAAATTGTACGCTGCAGCTGTATCCCACAACAGGAAGAGGGCTGTTTTACAATGTGTTGGTAATGTGAGCAACTGACGTTTTGCTGAAAAATATTTTAGTTATAACACCTGTACTATATAGAGAGAATAGAAGATGCTTGGCAGCAATTATCAGACTGTTATTTGGCCATCAATTTCAAATGTCCTAATTCAGGATATCAACGCGAAAACAGCTCGATACTCAAGAAGAGATGACACTTGAAATTAAAAAAATATATATGTACTGTGTCCCATAGGAATCAATTTTAGGGGTAGTAGCGTTGACTGGGTGTTCCACATCAAGAATGCACACTGACATTGTGAAGGATGAATGCTGTATTTGTGGTACAATTTGTGCAAGTATATTGTGAAGTAATTTGCAGCTTAAATTAGGAAACTTATATTGTCAAGAAGAAGCCAGAATGATAAGAGGAAGAATAGCTATGTATAAATGCTTACAATGCAAAGTACACTAAGGTACCCTGCCAGTACTAAGTAATTTAAAGGATGGGCATTTTAACTTGGCAATCCAAAATGATAATGTCTTTTGGAATAAATGTAGCCTATTGGCTGAAGAATGCATAGGCGGCAGAATTCATCCTCACCATCAACGGCAGTGGTGGAATATTTTCATTTGGGGAGGGTGTAAACATACCTCTCTGCCCCCTTCAATGTTTTTATTGGGGCCTCTGCTTCTGCCGCCACTGGAATAATGTAGTGTTTGTGCACATGCTTACTCTTTGGTTCAGAACTGAATCTTTACTGGCTGTCATCTTTTGCCAGGATGCCTGAGGTTATAAATGTTGAATCCTGATGGCTGTGATTCTTATGATCTATCATTCTCATTGGGGAAGACTACACACCTTATAAAACTGAAATGCTGCAGTGGTGCAGAATATAGTACAGCCCCATAATGTAATGAGATCTTAACGACGTCTTAGTCCTTCGAGGTATTGTACATTGTAGTGGTAAAGTTACTTTTATTGTACAAGTCCCAGTTTAGCAAAATTACTCAAGGAGGGGTTTAACAAGTCACCAATTTCCTCAAATGTGGAAAAGGACAATTCCACATGTATTCTTTTACAGGCTTCTATTTAAGATTTAATGTTCTCTCTAACTGCCAACCCATCTATTGCATTTATTGTACTGGCATGGAATTTCTTGATAAACTGCTGTGCATTATTTATCAAAAATACAATATTAGATATAAGAATATTCTGTGTAATATGCTTCAAAAATGTGGAGCATTTTGCATTTGAAATCCAGCTGCTGCCATGTCACAAAGGTTCCAAAATCAAAAAAAATTAACTGTTTTAAGCTGCTCCCGTGAGATTTAAAGCCAACCATCTAATCGCTAGTCTTGTGATCTCTTCCAGTTGTTTGTTAGTCTCTCAAATACACCTGTATTTTCCTACAAGAGAAAATGCTTACTTGCTGCCAGTCTGACTAGTATAATAAATTATGCTCGGAAAGAATGATTACTTATCAGGATGAGCAACGTTCAAACATTTTCACTCCTATTTAAGAAAATTAAAGGTAGATCAGAAATTTATAATTCGTTAAACCTACAAAGTTAAATCAGACCTGAATATTCTCTTAAGCATGTTAAGATTCAAAAATGTGTTTCTGAGTGTTCCCTGCAGCACTAAAATAATGTGATAAATTGCAAGATTGTTTTTATTTTAAGTGTGCAATAGTGGTTAGTGTCTAACTGTAGGGAATGTAGCTTGTCTTGTCCTTTTAAAACTTGAGAGGTATTTGGCAGAATGGGCTTAACTTACACTAACTGCTAAAATAACATTCTTTTTCATTTTTTTTTGCTTTACTTGTTTTTAAATCACTTCATGCCCTGGCACCTTCCTACCTCTCCGACCTGCTTACTCCTCAACCCACTACCCGCTGCCTCTGTTCGACTGCCTCCAGCCTCCGACATGTCCCTCGTGTCCTGTTTTATCATCGGTGGCAGTGCTTTCAGCCACTACGCCCCGAAACTCTGGAACACTCTTCCTCTATCCCTCCTCCTTGTCCCCTCCTTCCCCATCTTCAGGTCGCGCCTGAAGACCTTCCTATTTGACTGTGCCTTCGGTCACCTCCCCCTCCCCTGGCTCGGTGTCATGCTTTGCCACTACTACTACTGGGATACTACTCTGTGTGAGGGGCGCTATATAAATGCACGTTGTTGTACACGAAAGGTTCAGTGCCACACAGATGTGATAGGTTAAGTGTTCTCTCAATTGTGTCACTTTCTTCAGTGGAACTTGGGTGTATTTTAAGAGAGACAAAGTAGAGGAAAGGAAACAATTTGATTCAGAAAAGCAATCTTGTAAAAACAAGTTGCTGAAATCTGTGTGGTATTTAGGGGACATGGAGATAGAGGGTTGGTGATATATCTGAACTAGCAAGATGAGGAGATGCTCACGTGTATTAGCTGGAAATTTCAGAGCTAATTATTTTTTCTATTTTGCTAATAAATTGTTCCTTTTAATTTAGTCCTTCGCATTCTCTGTACAACTGTGTTGAATTTTTACAATATAAA